ATGTATTCTTCAAGGTAGTGCTTTAGAGAATATATTTGAATGCCTTGATTCTCCAGATTCGTATTTTACTTAATAAACAGTATCAATAAATTTGTCTGATTTTTAATAGCAACCGTTTGAAACTTTTCACAGACCAGGTTTTCTAGGAAACAGCTATACCAAAGAATTTATTCTGCTTAATTGTCTTCTATTAAGCAGTTTTCATTAGTCATCCTCTAATCTGTATGAACAGAATTAAAAGGTGTCAGGAAAATAAACTGTTTTAACCATTTGTATTAAAACAAAAATATTAGTTTTGTTATTTAAAAGTTGTTAACAGATGCGACTTCACTTAATCAGTATAGGAACTTTCAGTAAAATTGTGCTTAAAAGATCTATGCACAGTCTGAAATTTCCAGCAAGACAAAAATCCAGCTTCTTACAATTCTTGAAGTTAGGAGACTAATTACATTAACTGATTTATTAATAAATGAGGCTTTTTGTCTAATTGTTATAAGTACTAACAGACTGGGGAACAATTTTAAATGTCTAATGTGCCTGGCAACCATTTATTTTACGTTAATTACATTTATCAGTAATGTCACTATAGATATGCCCCTTAGGTTCTACATTTGGAAAATCAAAGAAAAAAGTGAAGATTATTACCTCATTGGCCAGTTCCAGTAAAACAGGGGCAGTGGCATTTTTCATCACCCCATTCAGGTACCTAGACAAGACAAAGGTAATTCCTGTACAGCCCAGCACAGCATATTTCATGAGAAGCGTTCTAATAAATAAGTAGTTTAAACAACCACAAACTCCCCAGCCATGCTTCCTATTCATTTGCAATATACAACAATCTGATTTAAGTTACTGGTAAAAAAAAAAAAAAAAACAGACAACAAATCAAGACAATGGTCTTTCAAAAAGATTCAAAAAGCCATATAAACAAATTATACTTCTATTATTTAAAGATGCAGAACAAAAATCTCTATTATTCACTGAAAAGATTTTGAGTTCCATTTGATCTTCAGCTACATAGTGCAAATCACTGTACATCTTATTTAACTTGTTACTATGCACAAAAAGTACATTCAGAAGTTTAATTGCAGATTTTATCAACAAAGGTAATGGTAATAGTTTAAATACTAAAGACTAACTTCAGTGAAATCAGAGTATAAAAGTGAACTTAATATTGTGAAGAATATTAAAAGAAATATTAAAAGAAAAATTTAGGATCTATTATTTTCAGGAGTTGATGGAATGAAGAATACTTTTGGAAGCCACTCTGCTTTGCAACAATCTGGTACAGAACAACATCTGAACCTGCTCATTTATCCTATCTTTATTTATAGAGCAAATTATAAGAAGGCCACAGCCTTTCTAGTTCTGTTATTATCTATTCATCAGAAGCCCTTCTTCTGCTCATTAGCTACAGATATTAGTATCATTTTACCTTTTTGTGAAATGCATTTAACATCTTTATATGTAACTCTTCACAGAGGATAATGGCTTTTTGTTTGCAAGTTATTCTGAGGCTTAATGAATAAAGGAACTGATAAAAGCTTATTGCTGTAACCTATTTCAATTCTATGTAAAAACACAAAATAAGATGTCTCATGTAAATCTGAACTCTTGAAAATTTATAATGGTGGGGGAAAAAAAAGACAGTTAAAGAACAACATACTTAACCAAGAAGATTTGCTTGAGACTGATGTTCGAAAACATGCACCCAGATGATCAAACATCACAGCTACAGCTGACATTGGAGTGCTACTGGCAATTCCATTATGGACTAACAGATTTCACTTGTTGATGGCAATACTGTCCTAAAAAGCTTGCTGATCCTTCTTATAACTTCGCTTTCTGTTGGTCCAAATTGAAGCCTATACCAGTTTCAGCCAAACAGTAGGAACTATTCCACAAAACCACACTTATGCTTTCTCCCAACAACGACCACTGGAAATGACTACATTCAAAATTGTGTTGTTTCAGATAGAGGAATGCACAAATATTTGTTTGTATGTAGGAGAAGCGTATCACACAGAATGTATAGTTGTAAGATGGATGCTACAAAAGAGTAGTCAACATGTTTGCCATGTTTACACTTGCAGCATTTCAAACTGCCTTCTGACTCAAGCAGTCTGCCCCTGTAGACTACAAGACATTACACCGTAAATCAAAAATGGGATTGAGATGAGTTTCCTATATAATAACCAGAACATACCTAATTTTAAAATATGTGCATTTTGTCCAACCATGTTAAAAGTTTGCAATACACACAATATCCAGTAATAGCATAGCTACCACATAGCTTCATACATAATGCATTAGTTATGTACTGCCACATACCTCAGAGTACAGAAGGGGACAGAACACCAAGTATTCCTACCTGATGTTAGCCAAACTTAGTTACACCTATAACCTCACTGGTACCAACAACATTGCTACTTTGCAAAAACCAAAATCTGATTCAGCATGTCAGGTTCAATGTAACGGGACTAGTAATATTATAATCATAAAAAGAGTTTAAATTATTTGCATGTGTTCTAAGAAAAGAATTATTACAGTTACAATTAACATAGGACACTTCATTAAAATTATACTAGTTAAAAGTAATTAAACTAAGTATTTCATATATATATGGTTATTAAAATGACAAAATTTAAAGCCAATATTCTTCCTAAACAAACATCAACACTGGGAGAAGCGCGATGTGATCCAGTACAAATTTTTACAAAACTATATAGCTACTTGAAAAAGAAAATCAAGCCCTCCAAAGAGTACAATTCACACAAGGCTTTCTGATATAATCAGGTTGTGCTTAGGTTTAAACATGTGATTCTGCAGAAGCGCAGTGTACTTAATTGTTTACAAATGGAAGCTTTTTGTTTATTTTCCTGGTTCATACAGATTAACATTAAGCATGGATATCAGACATCTATAATCACAAGTATGAACTTGCTTGCCATGTAAGCTCTTCAGATATGTCAGTCTACAAAGTATTCTTTAATTGCACATTTTTACCAGTTATCATTATGCCCCAATTATGTCATTGTGACATTTAAAATAAAGTGTATAGAGGTAACAGACAAACTATAAGATGTCGCAAACATTTTATTAGCTTAAGACACAAATAATTACAGAATATCGTAAAATGACATTCTCCCTTAAAAGCTATTTCTGACACTTCTGTTGATAAAACAGGAGTGATCTAAAAATTAAAGCTGGCAATACAGAAATTTAGTATGTAACTTTTGCAATGTAAAACAGCTGTTTTTTTAAAAAGTACAAGCAGCTGCAACAGAAGAAGCTCACTAGCTGTAAGGAATTTATCATTAATATTAGTCTTGACACGGAAATTACATAATTACTAACTATAGGCAGTATATAATGAATGCTTTCATATGCACTGTAAAAAATAATATTTGCTTATCTGGATTAAAAGCCAAGGAAGTTAAACACCTCTTGATCAGACTGACCAAAGCCTGAAATATTCTGTATATACACTGATAAACACATTTATGTGAACATTCTGTAACATTTATCCCAAATTGTTAATTTATATTTATAGAAAATCATCTTCATAAGCTAATGAGCTAATTTACTTATAATTACGATAAAATTTAGTGATGATACTCTTAACTAGGGTAAGGAGGTCATACCTTTGGTAGTAAGATTCAACTGCTTCTGCAGTATGATGCTTGGCATGTGTTCTTTTTATTTGTTTCTTGAAAAACAAAAGAAAAACAGTCTTACAAATGTGCCATATATCAAAGCACAAAAATCATAAATGTTCAAACAGATGCCTAGGCTACACTTTGTTATACAAACTGAACTATGTTTTGAGATTCTATATAGAAATGATGTTCAATTGAAATGAATGTCTTCATAGTGTACTGCAATGTACCATATATGTAAAAGCCAGTAAGGTCACAATAATTGAATCTAAATAAGTTTACTGAAGGCTGCAGAGGGCAAAGTAAAACTTGTTCTGTCTTTCAATCTTTGTATTAATTTTCCCTCAATTCAATTCCATCTAAGTCTGGTGTACGCTAGTTTTACAATTCAATTGGCATTTTTAACCAGGAAGAACATTGCTTAAAAACAACTTATTTGAAAAACTACAAAAAGTAATTCCACAGAGACTTGCCACTTGACTGACACCTGTCATCTCATGATAAATGACTCCATTTTCTGCCTCTCTTGCCTTCTGCCACTCCGGCAATGGTCATTTATCATCATCTCTGTCAGCAATGGAAAGCAGCACTGACAGTGCAAGTCAGCAAACATTTAGCACATGGAACCACGCAACACAGGGAAATTATTATTGTCAGAATAATAATGGTTTAGCATAATTTATTACAGGTCCACCAAATAAGCAAAGGCTAGATGTTATTAGACAGATGGATGGGTAGGCTTGGCAGCCATCCACTGAGACTCAGGCGGTGCTTGATGTGGAAAAGGGAACATCCTCCAAACCAATCAGAAAGCTGGCAGTTCAATTACAAAGAAATAAAGGGACATTCATCATTCAATTAGGCACCTGTCAACCCTCACAAAGGAGAAAACTTCTAACCTGGTACTCCTGGGAGAAGATGCTCAGCAGAGTGGACTGCGATTGACTGGAACAAATAAAAGAAGGACAAAGTTAATTACTGGAGTGCACTGCAAAGAAACAAAAGAGAAGGGAGCTTCAAAGGTAGGCCTGCTGCCCTGTAATCTAACAGAACATGAAAACAAGTGTGGAAAAGTTGTTCCAGATGAACACCTCAGACAAAGGCTTCCTGCTGCTAGGTCAAGGAGAGAGCATACGAGGGAGGGGAGGAAAATATAGCAAGAGTTTCAAAGCAAACTAGCATATTGTTTAGGTGATTCTTTTTCAGCCTCAAACCTACAAAGCCCTATCAGTAGCAGGTACTGGAGTTAAAAGGGAAAAGACAAAGAAAAACAAAGCAAAATTTCCTTTAATAATTGATGGACTTAAATTCCATCAGAAGTTGGGAACATACCGCTTGTTCATTGGCAACATATTGAAATTCATTTTGTTAGCAGCAAGGGAAACTCTTCAGTAGCTGTCTCATATTCAGGTTAAAAACTTCCCTCTCTGTCAGAAGTAGCATATGGGACCACTGGAACATTCCCACTGAAACTGATGTGCTTTGAAAACAGAAACTTTCACAGCAGGAAGCAGAGATTCCCTGGAGTCGGTCATTTCCAAAAGCTGCCATAAGCTTCATTCATCTAAGGCTCCCCTCAATGTCAAACACCTGGCAGTGAAGCAACCTGGAAAGCATTCTTCTCAAGTGGGAATTTTTCTCTCTGAATTCTTAACGTTTAGAAATGGGACAAGATTTCTTTTCCCCCCCAAAAAGCAATCACTACCATGCCACTACTGTTTTCAATTGTCCTCTGTGGATATATTTACCTCATCATATCCTGAATACAATTAATTACTTCTGATATATTTTCCTACTACATGCAACTTGAACAAATTATAGTCTCAATAAATCGAGTTTTATGGTACAGCAAAGCACTATGAATAATTAACATTTTCCCTTTCATGAGCTTAACTACTAAGGCACAACATAGGTAGTTCAAATATTCAGCAGTGCCTAAAGTCTTCTTCTTCTGACAGATTTCCAGCATGGCGATTTAATACCTGCATTACATCATATTTACATTAAATGTAAATATTCTCTCCACACTTAAATGGCCTTTCTTCTTGTAATATTCACATCTCAGAGATATTAACTTAGGATAAGCAAGTCTTATGCCCACTTTGAAAAGACAAAACTGAAGAATAGAATGACTGAATGGTTTGTTCAAGTTGAAACAGAAGGTATGTCTATGTAGCACAGTATAAAGTTACCTCTAAATAAGCCAGCTGAAGCATTAGGTGCAAAGTAACTAAGCTAGACTGTGTTCAGTGCTATGCAATGAGCTTATCAGTTTGAGTTATCTGTTTCTCATGTTTCCCGCATCTTTGCCATAACACCTAGTTTGGGCTTGTCTGTCCAGCGCATGTGCATCTGTGTGACAGCCGTAAGCTGAGCCTTCTTCTCTGACATTTTATACATGATAAATGGAATATTAATTGTCTGAATATTGAAACTAGAAAAATGGTAATAATATCTATTACTATCTATTATATACTAAACTATCTATTATATGTATTTGTTTTTCTGTGATCCATTAATTTCATAAATGACAATACAGTCAAGATCTTAAATATTCTTAAATATATATCATTCAACACAGTGGCCAAGAGATATTCAACACAATGCATCCCCAAAAGGTGTATTATCCAATTATGGCAATCTTCAATGTGTAGATGTGGCCTTAAAAGCTGAACAAAGGAAAGAAATTAAGATTATATACTTAAGCAGACTACATACATATACATAGCTATGCTTCTTCAAGTTGATTTATTTGGAAAACAAAACAAAACAAAACAAACAACCCTGCAGGCTATAAATGAGCCAGATACATATGGCCCCGTAATGGCTCTCCATGTAACTATTATTATCTGGCAGATTTACATGGTCATAACAGTAGAACTGAATGTAGAGAAAAGATTCAGAAATTAAATAACAGAACACAAAACAGGACAACATTTACCTGGGTTTGACTTCTCTCCAACTAGTACACACATTTTTGTATTTTAAAACCATTCCCAGTAACATTACTATGCTTACTGCACAGTTATCCAACCATACTCAGTGACGTATCAAAAAGATTTAAGACCATTATATCCATTATCTCTCTGTTCTCCCATTTTACTCTTATTCATTCTATTTTGTTCCTTTGCTGTCCTTGATTTCATCTTTCTACTTCATTTTAGTCTGACAAGCTTCTCCAATGCTTCAACTGTTCCGATCATTTAGGACTCACCCCAAATACTAAATAAATGAAGAAATAAAAATCAGGCAAGAACCTAACAAGGTCGATATATACTGGATTGCAGTACAAAAATATTGTGACTGCAGCAGAAAATTACTTCAACAGAATCATTCCAAGAATTTCAAGCCTTACCCTCCTCCCCAAGAGAAGTAGATTTATATTTTCACATGGCTTCTTCTCTGTTTCTTCTAATTAACATAGGCCCCCCTGTTAAACATCAAAACCACTTATCTGCCACTCTATGGTTGCTTTTTTTTGGCCTCTATTGTATTGCTACTGGCAAAATTACATGAATAGCCAGCAAAATGAAAGCTGCCCGGCAAAATGAAGCAGCTCCTTCAAACATCGCTGGAACATCTATTGCAAGATGCTACTGACAGCAAACTAAAACATCACGGTTTTGAAAAGTGGTTAAAAAGACAGTACAGTGTACTTGGAGAGGGAACAGAGTCATGAGCATGCATCTGCATTGCAAGACAGCACAAAAAGAATGCAGCTGCTGATGGTAACAGTTCAGGATACTGCCATGCAACTTATTACCGGAGGTATCTTATCAGTGTATACAAACACATGAAGGGAAGGTATAAAGAAAACAGAGATAGGTACTTCACAGCATTGCCCAGTGAAACGGGCGCAAATTGAAACACTGGAGGTTTTGTCTCAATGTCAGAAAATTGTGCAAGAGCGACTGAGCACTGGTACATGCTGCCCAGAGAGGCTGTGGAATCTCTTCCTTGGAGATCATCAAAAGTTGCTTGGGGATGGGCCTGGTCCTGCTCAGGGTGTTCCTGCTTGTACTATCATCCCTGGAGAGTACATCAGCATGATCTATTTGCAGGCCTGCAGTGAGTATAAAGTACTTACAGACAGATCAGCACTTCATAATTACAGCTGATGTGAAACTATGGCCAAGAAGGAGGCAGTAAGGACTAAAAGATTTTAATTGGAATGTCTTGCCTTCCTCTTTTCAGCAAAACATGCTCCTATATCTAGCCAAGATTTTGGGTACTGTCCAACTTAGTATTTCCCACGTAATAGAGCCACACCTGAAGAGAATCCAAACACGACAACTTCTATAATTATTATAAAAGCTCTGAAAGTAATGCCTCCTATTTTACTATGTTGACCCACAATGTCAGAAGCCAAGTTCTGATCTTGTTTGACATCTTCATCAATGACCTGGATGAAAGGATGGAATGCACCTTAGCAAATTTGCTGATGATATGAAGTTGGGAGGAATGGATGTCACACCAGAAGGCTGTGCTGCAATTCAATAAGACCCAGACAAGCTGAGCTGGATGGAAAAGAACCTTATGGAGTTCAACAAGGGCAAGTGCAGAGTTCTACATCTGAGGAGGAATAACTGCAGGTATCAATACAGGTGAGAGGCTGACCTGCTGGAGAGGAACTCTGCAGAGAAGGATCTGGTTGTCCTGGTGGAAAACAGGGTGACTATCAGCAAGCCTCCTTGTGGCCAAGAAGGCCAGTGGTATCATTTAGGGATAAGGTAAACTTTCCACTTCACTTTCTGAGATTTATGGAAATGTAAAATCTTAGATATAAATACAAGCTTCTACTTGTTTCATATCTTCATTTTAAAATGCAATTCTTTTCCCTCAACTTTCTCTCCACGTTTTTTGCCCCAAATAGAAAGAACAAAAATGCTGTTTTACTTTTCATACATTTTACTATGGAATAAAGGAAGAGTGATCAGTAAAAACAAACAAACAAACAAACAAACAAAAAAAAAACACAACAAAAAACAAGAGTAAATATGAACTACAAAGAACACTGGGTCAGTGCTACCCTTTCACAAAATGGAACTCTTCACCTCATGAAGATGATAAACATGATGGTTAAAAGACTGTGCAAGGGGATTTGCATTTCCAAAATTCAGAAGCTGTTATGGGTGAAATCCCAAAGTAGCACTGTCAAAGCTTATCTTGGAAGTATATCCAACAACGAATTGTAGGTTTTATAGGAATTAAGGTACAGTGGAAATTGTCTTTTTTATTCCACATTCTCTAGTATGAGAGTATTGTGCTTGTTACATCTCTTCGTGAGATGTTATTTCTGTGAAGCAGGTATCTTTTAATATTAGAACTTTCCTGCTACTCCAGTACTTTGGGAACCACAAAACCATTACAGTTTGTTGTTGGTGAAATACTCTCATTACAAATGTACTAATGCTATAAAATTACAATAAACATATAGATAAAAAGAAGTACCTGTGAAAGGGGTGATGTTCATTTCAGCCTTAAAGATATCAATTTAAAAACAAGACAAGATTAAAGCTCACTTGCAGAGCTATAGCACTAATCAGTTTTGAAATTCAGCAACATCCAGTTCATTAAACTATAGAACAACTCAAGTCAAAAGATGTGAATATGAATCACTTACTAAAAAGTGTCTTAGCGTCAAAGTCGATTTTGTACCTTTGTTAGATTTAAAAGTAAAAGTTGAAAATAAGGATTCTGAGCCTTAAGACTTCCTGCATTGCAAGTTCACCCTATGCAATAATAATAAAATAGGTTAAATGCAGGCATATACATATAGCTTTGCTGCCTATAGACAGGGTTATGAGAATAACTATGACAAAGCTTTGAGAAGGCTACTTGAGAAGAGTCATCACTTCTATGACCTTGACATTGGTTGGTCTCACAACTTCTATGCAATTTAGTGATGTGCAAGAACAGATGATGGTGCAATACATAGAAATGGC